TCATAGTTATTTGTGACAAATCGAAAGGAATAGGGTAAAAAGCACACGTGACATTTTTAAATCTACTCGTAAATCGTCAACAATATGGGTTAATAAGTCGATCTATCTACAACAAGCCCATTCGAAAGGGACAGTATTTAAATTACCATAGCTCTGTCCAGTTGAGTGTAAAATGCCGTTAGTTAGATATTTGTCTGGGCATATTCAGCACCTGCCTAAGGTGTATACCACTGAAGAAGTTCAAAACCTTACCGAAATATTATTGGCTAATAACTATCCTCTGAAATTCAGAAGCATTAGACAAAAGGCTCTACCAGTCCAATCAGCTTCCACAAAAAGATGCTTAAATGTCTTTATGGTCCAAAGGTGGTCACCAAAATCTAATCGCTAAATAAAGACTCAGGGAGGCACTCAACAGAACCTGGCAAGAAGCTAAATTCATTTTCATAGAGAAAAAGAAATTTGTGTTGCCCTGTAAGTTCTCACAGCATCCGAGCGATAGTGTCTCACTCCACTGTGTTTACCAACTTACATTTATATGTTGTCACAGGAACATTGGGAGAACCGATCACTCTCTGAAGGTTAGGGCTACAAAACGCATTCTTAAATGTTCACAGGAACAAATACTATCTCCTGGTTCAACTAACCCTGGAAATAGATGCCCAACATCATCTGTCAAAAAGCACACCATGGAGACCAGTCATAAAGTTGAATTCAGTAGTGCTTTTTAACCCATATATAAGACAGGTTCGCGTCAAACACTTACATTCGATGAAGCCTTAGGCATAAAACAGCTAAAGCCTGCTTTAGGCATTCAACAATTATTTGTTCTTATTTTACTCAAGAATATTTTTATTACAGCCTGTCAGATGTCTAGATCGTAAAGACCCTGGTCCTATCTCTGGTTTCAGAAGAATATGCCTAATACATAGAATAAAGTACACTGCAACCGACGCACAACAACAGAAAACGGTTGGGTAATATTATTGTTTATTCTTCAACCGATAACGAAACAGACTCACATTTACAAAAAATGAATACCGAACAAAGAATACTCTTTTCGATAACTTCATCATCATTGTAGTGTATGAATGAATTAGTGTTATGAACAACATTAGTGCTGTTTAAATAACATCGAATCAATAACAATATCAATAGATTACAGTTTAATAGCATCAACATAACAGCAAACTGAATGTCAGAAAAATTAGGAAGGATAATATTACAAATTCATGAATTTATAGTCTCCACTGAAGGCCGGCCAGGGCAGTAGTAGTGGGTGGACTTGCTTCTTTTGCACACAAAGCGCTGGTTGTTTCAGGCGAATTGCAATGGCCTTTGCTGTTTGAAGTATGCGGTGCTCCGGTGATTTTGGCAATTTATTAGGCACCCGATAGATGATGGAGAAGGATTCTTCTACACTGGCTTTGTGGCCGGTTTGCACCAGATGGTCCAATATCGAACTTTTAATGGTTTTCACTACACCTTCACTTAGCCATAGTGGGAGATGTTCTCGAGCGAGCACGAGAAATCAAGTTCCTACAGCAATGGCCGATATAACTCGCCCCACAAGCGCAGTTGAACTGGTAGATACAATTAGAAGTGGCTAGTCTAGGTACTTCATCTTTCAGTCGAGGAATCACCATCGGTCATGTAGAGAATAAGACGTGTAGTTCGCCAGCATTAAAAGTTCTTTGAATTGATTTTCTTAACTGCTTCGTAATTGTCTCACTTGGTATACCACCCTCGAATTGCAGTCGTGTATAAAAAGGCTTCTTGTTTACGGATAGCGAGTAGTCCTTTTCCGCTTTCTTTGTCATGTGTTTCTTGATAAATTTGCCGGGATAGCTATTTTCGATCAAAGTATCCTATACAATGCTTAATTCATCTTCAATTACTTCTTCTGAGCATATAGCTCTAACTCTGCGGCTCGGTGCCAAGATTTGTTAATAAACGTTAAAATAATGTACAACAATACTTCTGATCGTAATTCTCCAATCTCCTGCCAACCAGCACACAATTAAGCGATGACAGCCTTCTTGTCTCCTGTCAATATGCAGACCAGTTCTAACAAATAAACGATTCAGTTTTCACCAGCATTGACCTGATTTACCTGATTTTCGTATCTGTTACATATGAGTTTGACCTGTATTGCCAAACATTCTTGGGCCTTTATGCTCCGTTGCCTTTTAGATAAATATGTGTGACAAGTATATGTGTTATATATGTCCAAACCAAGTTGACTTTTAACGGTTTGAAAAAATTTGGGCATTGGGTATATGATAATACTTTGATAAAGCTATTAGCATTAAATAGCGAAACGTCAGTAAAAACAATATCGTTTTGTTTTTCATTCATTGGGAAATACAAAAACCTTTATTATAAGTATATGTGTGATCAGAATGTCCGAAATGTGTTGAGCAAATATATCACAAGTTTAAAATCTGTTACGTCTTCTTATTGTTTTGTCCAAATGTGTATATCGGCCGTTGCTCTAGAAACTTGATTTTTCGTGATCACTCGAGAACATCTCCCACTATGGCTAAGTAAAGGTGTAGTGAAAACCATTAACAGTTCAATATTGGACCACCTGGTGCAAACCGGCCACAAAGCCACCCAGCCAGCATGGAAGAATCCTTCTCTATCATCTACTAGGTGCCTAATAAATTGCCAAAAACATCGAAGCACCGCATGCTTCAAACAGCAGAGGCTATTGCGATTCACGTGAAACAACCAGTGCTCTGTGTGCAAAAGAAGCAAGTCCAGCCCCTTTTACTGCCCTGGCCGGCCTTCAGTGGAGACTATAAATTCATGAATTTGTAATATTATCTTTCTTAATTTTTCTGACATTCAGTTTGCTGTTATGTTGATGCTATTAAACTGTAATCTATTGATATTGTTATTGATTCGATGTTATTTAAACATTAATGTTATTCCTTTTTCATCTATTTACATAGACATAGGTATATCGTAGAATAAAAGACATAATCCTATTTAAAAGTACTCTCATTGTTTCTTACTGAAATTCATAAGTCTTCACCTTGCATCATTTAATTTATACACAGCAGGTCATTATAACAACGAATCTTCTTATTCCAACTTTTACAAGAAGAATTTATGTCCTAATTGTTTACTGTTTACAGATATGCTCATCTATCAGGTTGAATTTATCATAATTTTTAGAAATAATGTTTAGTATACAAAGAAAGAACATCGGTTAAATTTCGCTCCACAAGCTGTAAATTAGCCTCATATTTGCGATATGATTTCCGTTGTTCTTCCACATCACATTCTCGGTTGCTTGATTCAAACGAAGCAAATATTTCAATTGGTTTATATAAAAAATGAATCCAATATGTCATGCATATCTGTTTTATTTTAAATACCACCTCTTTTCAAGTATTGGTTTGTAGGGATTTGGTTGATTGGTTACAGGATTTCATCATGAGCTGATATTGGTTAGAGAACCAGTACTCCCAGGTTTTCCAATGCTTCTCAAAATTTTGATGATTAATTAAAATCCGAATAAATCTGCTGAAGAAGCTGTGGCTTACACAGCGAAACTTTCAGAAAAATCTTGTTTTGATTTTCTTAACACGCTGGGATTAATCTAAATAATTTATAATTATGATTGTACAGCTCATGAAAATGAATCGTCGAAAAGAAAATTCTCTTCGCTGTTTACGCCTCTCTCTGCATTATGCCCTAAGGCTGATCCCACTCCCACACTAAAGATAGCCACTATAAATATTTATAAGGTATTTAACAAATTCCATATGTAGAAACACCGAACACAGCATCTAGACTAATTTCGAAAGCTTCATTGTTGAGAAAAATGAAAAATGGAAAACAATGAAATATTTTTTAGGCTGTAGAATTCATAGTAAATTTACTTCCACAAAAATATATTAGTCTACGATAAGGATTTCTTATTTTCTGTACGTATTTATTGCAAGTTATCATGTGACCTAATTACAAGCACATCATGATATTAGATGGTTGAAGGCAATCGGCAGAAAGCCTTGGACCTAGGTTTCGTGCTAGTTGGCACTCATCAGTCAACACGGCGTATCTGCAACCTTGAAGGAACTCATATGCCTTCCCTTCTGAGATTCGAACTCGTGTCACCCAGTGCTGCAGTCAGAGATGTTACCACTGAGCTTTGTGGGCTCGCGATTCACCTGCGGTAGGACTGTAGTGGATACTTTGACTGGACACCGGTAACTAGTGTCTAAACAAAACAAACACCCCATATTTATTTTTCTGATTCATGTTCATCTTGATTAAGACTACATTCTTACTGTTAATATCTTTATACCGTTTTCTTGTTCGCCTCTTTTAGAAGTTTTCGTATGATTTCATTGCTTTCATTAAACCAACAGTTGCTTTCACCAACTTTCCTTCATTGTTGTGTGAATCACCGGTACCCAAAAATACGTGAGTCGGTGACACAGCGGTAGAATTCTCGCCAAGCACACCACAGGTGGTTTGGGATTTGATCCCCGACCGACGTACTGCTTTACCTCGCTGAGCCATTAATAAGACTGGTAAAGAGGGAAGGTTAGGCATGAGCCTGGCAACCCCACTCCGTGAAAATAAAACCACTGCTACTGAAAATTCAGAGCTCTAGCTTGAAGCCCTATGTTCCACTAGGAACTTGAAGGAATAAGAAAAGAACCTAAAAATACTCGTACGCATTCAACATACTTATCTTGACAAAGGTCAAACAACATACCACTATCAGTGTAAAAAGATACTTACCCTTCCTCTTTGATCTTACTCATGTAGCTTGGCTTCTATACACAAGTAGCTGTGAGTTCCAATCTGAACTCATAGAATTTTTTACTGAAAGCAGTTGACAACGTCTTTATTGCTAACACTAAATCCAACACAACATATGAATAAGCAATAAATGGAACAATTAAAGCAAAATTTATGATTTATTCGATAACACCAAACAGAATCCAGTATGTTTTTCTTACACTGAACTGTTAAACGTATCAAGAATCAGCCGAATTCTTTCTTTTAAAATAACCTTCAATGTGTAAAATCTTTTTAAACGCATCTGCATAGGATTTGTTATAAAATGCATAAATAAATGGATTGCAACAACTGTTGAAGTACACCGAATATGAGACTGCCATAATTAGATACTCTGGAAACATGCAACTACAGATTATCTCGCCTAAATACTGTGGAAGAAGCGGTAGCCAACAGCCAACAAAGCAACCGAGAACTATTGCGACAGTTTTCTCAGTCCTTTTCTCTCTCCTTAGCAATGATTTAATTCGACAGGATTCAGGTGTAGAGGAGATACTTCTACTGGTTACACCAGCAGTAGCAGTAGCAGCAGCAGATGAATGACCAGTTTTTTCAACTATGGTATGAAAATCATTCGAGCTGTTGCCATGAAAATCCAACCTTGATAAATCTTTAAATTTACAATCCATTTTTAAACTGTTTAGAATTCTGGAGTTTTCCTCCTGTGGCTCAGAAGTTGTTATGTATGTTTGTTCACCTGAATTCTGAGAATGAAATTCATGGATTATGAATCGATCGTATTTATCTTCCATTTTAGACAAACTGTCTCGAGAATGTTCTTCATTGAAAGATTGGAATATGTCAGAATTAGACTGTTTGATTATAAATGTTTGTTCTGTTTTCTTTTCTGACTGTAAATGGACTTTTTTAAGTATCGCACGCATGTTATGCTCACTTTCTTTTGGAGATTCACATGTGATAGCTTTTATAGTAGTGTTAATTTTCGCCTCATTTGGTGCAATAATAATTTCCAATATCTTCTTATTGTTATTCCATGATTCCGTTAATCGCGAAGTGCCAAGGTGGTTGAGTGCTGATTTAATAAAGGTGATAATATAATGAATGCATTCCAGTAGGTAAGATGTCAGCGACCTCGTAAACCTCCTCTGTATTTTCACAGAACTGTCGAAGCTTTCGTTGGTCTTAGACTTTTTTACCCATGAATTTCTCAGTGTTAGCTGACGTTTAATGATGAAATAGATAATAAGATGTACATAGCCTATCATTACTAAAGGTAAAACATACACAAGTATGGCTGTGTACAGTCTAAATTCCAAGTTGTAAATCATATAGCATTGGCCTTCGGCATAGTAATGCTGGTAACCGAACACGTATGGTAAAAATACTGAAATAAACGATAACAACCAAATCGCCGATAACATATAAAACACTCTGGGATAATTTTTAGTCGTTGCATATTGTAGTGGCCGAGTAACTGCAATGTATCTGTCCACAGAGATGCAGCACAGGTTTAATACTGAAGCTAAACACAAAAACACATTTGCAGACATATAGTATTGGCATAACAACTCTGACTGGAATGGCCAATAGCCAAAATGTTGGCGAATAATTGTCAAGGGTAGAATCAGGATTGATACCATGAAATCAGCCAGTGCCAGGGAAACAATATAGATATCAACTTCGCGTCTGAGTTTCTCTGTTGTTATAAAGGCGATTATTACCAGCAGGTTGCCGCAGAATATTACGCCTGTCATAATTATGAAGAAAAATGTAGCAATTCCTCTTATAGCAGTTTTCCAATCAAAATAAGCATCAGATGTATGATAGTAGGAAAAATTTTCCGAAGTATTTAAGCATAAAGCACAAAATTTGAAAATCATGATTCAGGTTAGCCAGTGAGCTTGTTGAGCAGCTGCTATTTATTGTAGCGAAAATTGAGTGAGTACTTAACTTCATCCAATAGCATGCCAGCATTTCCTTCTAACGAATTGTTTAACATTTTCCCCTTTGATCGACCAATCAGGTTGTACGGTGATAGATATTATCTAACCGTGCATACAATTATTCCTTCAATTCGCCGTATACAGTGGAAGAACTCGTGGTTTATTTGTATGATAATTACTCTCAAACCTGGCTTCAAAACAGTCTACGGAATGGTTTTAATATATGTGTAAAACTTAGGCACTGTGGTAGTATGTAATTCTTTATTAATTTGTTTATTAGATATATCACACACTGAAACAGTATTATTTACTGGATGAAGTTTCGAATACAATTTGTTGTTCATAATCATTTCATCAATTGTAATCACACAACTTCAAAACTTGAGTTTCGAAAAATTTCCTTAATACCCAATTTGAAGTGTTGATTATGATTGATAAATTGTGTTCGAAACTTCATCCAGTAAATAATACTGTTTCTCACTGTGTGATACATCTAATAAACAAATTAATATGGAATTACAGAATGGGTTTCTTTCAATTTTATTCCTTTACATTCGTAGTGGAACATAGGGCTTCAAGCTTCAACTTTGAAGTATCGGTAACAGTGGTTTCATTTTTACAGATTAGCGTTGCTAGCCTCACACTTAACCTTCCCTGTTTACTGGACTTACTAGTGAAGGGAATACAATGTACATTTGATTCGGAAAATGAACAAGGAGAATTAGCTATGTTAGATTGTAAAATCAAATGAGCAGAAGAAGGTAAACTACACACTAGTGTTTACAAAAAATCAACGCATTCTGAAAGATATTTAGACTTTAATTCATCTCATCCGTTGTCTGTAAAGGCTGGCTTAGTTAAATGTCTCACAAACCTAGCAATAGCACTAAGTAGCACAAAAAAAGACTTAAACGATGAAATGAAACATAGAAAAGGCGTTGGTATCAAATAACTATCCTATAAAATTCATTAGGAAGATCAGAAAAGGCCAAAAGCAAAGTAAAAATAATTGTGAAACTAATAATGAAAACATAAATAAGAAGGAATATAAGGCATCTACTGTTATACCATATACGGAGGGGATATCTGAGACCCCAAGTAGGATTCTCAATAAAGCCGGAATTAGAGTGGCATTCAAACCTACAAGCTCACTCACAGACAAACTCTGTAGGCTTAAAGACCCGGTAGACCCGACTAAACACAATAGCATAATTCACAAAACACCTTACAATGACTGTGAGTGAGGTCAGCTACATTGGTCAAACTAGTAGGTCCGGGGTAGCCAGATTGACGGAACATAAGAATTTAGCTAAGATTCGAATGACTGATCCCACGAAGATAAGTAATATTGCAAAAAAATCAGCGATTGCACTTCATGCATTAACACAGAACCACGCAATAGGGTGGGAAAGGGTTAAATTCTAAGAAGTTAAATAACTAGATGGAGAGCGAGAGAGGTTGATTACTGAATCCTGGTTCATCGAGTGAATCTACACCCAACACAACACATGCAACAGAAATGACTCCATGCAAATACCGAAGATATGGAAGATATTATTACCACCAGTCAGTCAAATCAGAGGAGGATAATAAATAATCTCAAAATTCTATTTCAATTCAAGCAAATCACAACATTCTAACAAGTTAATAAAAACCTCTTATTCCCCATCTGATTGCATTTGATCAATAACACTCATATTATTATTTCTGAATGCACTTCATCTTATATTGATTTTATTCAAATGTCTAATTAATTCCACTCATGTATATAAATGGAGTAAAAAGTTGTGTGAGTGGCTTGATATGATTATGAGTGGCAATAGTTTGTGCTCGAAACGTGGTCATCAGTTAATATTACTGTATAACACCACTGTGTGATTTATCAAAATAAAATCTTACCCATAATGGAGGGACTTACTACCGGCCTAGAAGTGCATTGAGCGGTAATCGAACCTCGAATCACTTGCGAGGTTGATGAGCTCTTTACCGCTGACTCACCACTCTACAGAATAGTAATGTCTTTTTATTGTACTGTAGGTTCTTGTAATCTATAAACAGCCGACAGATTTAAAAATCATTACTATTATTATTATTGTTCCATTGGGTTCCTAGTGGAACATAGGACTTCAACTGCACGTCTCCACTTGCTCCTGTCTTCTGCTGTACTTTTCCCTTCCATCCATGTTAGTCCATACTGTTTCAACTCTTCTTCACACGATCTCCTACATGTCACCCTTGGACGTCCCACTCGCCGCTTCCCTTTCGAGTTCCACTCGAGCAATGGCCTGACGCGCGATGTCACCAAGCGGCCTCCTCAGCGAGTGTCCAATCCATCTCCACTTTCTCCTGCATATTTCTTGGGTGATCGGTTCTTGTTTTGTTTGTTCCGAAAGTTTCTTGTTGGTGATTCTTTCCGGCCATCTAATCTTCAGTGTAGAGCGAAGACAGTTGTTGATAAAGGTGTGCAACAGGCTGTTGGAAATATTCTTGGTGACCCGCCAAGTTTCTGATCCGTAAAGCAAAACTGACTTGACGTTTGTATTGAAAATCCGAATTTTGTAGTTGATGGTGAGTGACGAAGATTTCTAGATTGGTTGTTTCAGGTTGATGAATGTGTTTCTCGCCTTCCCGATTCTCGATTTGACATCCTCGTCCGTTCCTCCAGTGGTGGCGACGATGCTCCCTAGATAAGTGAAAGAAGTAACCTCTTTCAAATCCCTCGCATTGATGGTGATTGGCGCTGGATGTTGCTGCTGCTGTTGTTGTTGTTGGTTGGTTATTTTCTTAACTTCCGTCTTGTCTATGTCCACCTGGCGTCCTGTCTTTGCTGCTTCTTCGACCAGTTTGTCGGTTTTCGCTTGTAAGTCTTCGATTTTGTGTGACATCAAACATAAATCATCCGCGAAATCCAGATCTTCTAGGTTCTTCACGTCGGTCCAGGATATCCTGTTTTCTC